GGGGGGTTTAAAGGCGGTGCAAAGTGCCTAACGTCGCTTTTGGAAGCCCATAAGAAGAGAAGAGGCAGGCCTGCGAGCTGCCGAGAAGAGGAAGAGGGCAAGGCTGCGGTGCAGGAGTAGGCCAAAGGCGCTGGGGAGGGTTTGCAGCCGCGGGGGAGGGTTTGAAGGCGGTGCAAAATGCCTAACGTCGCTTTTGGAAGCCCATAGGAGCACGGGCTGCACGTTCCAGGGCTCTCTCCCCAGGCTCCCGCCTGACGCAGGCAAGGCTGCGATGCAGGAGTAGGCCAAAGGCGCTGGGAAGGGTTTGAAGTCGCGGGGGAGGGTTTGAAGGCGGTGCAAAATGCCCAACGTCGCTTTTGGAAGCCCATAAGAAGAGAAGAGGCAGGCCTGCGAGCTGCCGAGAAGAGGAAGAGGGCAAGGCTGCGGTGCAGGAGTAGGCCAAAACGTCGCTTTTGGAAGCCCATAAGAAGAGAAGAGGCAGGCCTGCGATTAGAAGAGAAGAGGCAGGCCTGCTGCCGAGGGGTTTGAAGACTTGGCCAACTGCTTCACCCTGCGGTGTCCCAGGCGCCTCCCCGCCTAGGCTTTGGCTATAGGCCGGGGTCGGCGGATACACACATGTTGCTTAAACGATGTCGTGCTTTTTCTCGTTTTTTATGTCCGAGTCCCTTCCTGTCCCTCACTGTCACCGAGGGCTCTCCTCAGACCTTGGAGGATTATCGGGCGGCGATCAAGGCGTGTCCGCCTGGAGAGCCCAGTTACGCAACGATTTACAAAAGCGACGTGAAGCCACGCGAAGGCAGGCCAGGGTCAGGGTGAAAATATCTAAAAATGTGGCCGAAGAAAACAAGATGAGCACAATGATTCCTCTCTTCCAGGTTGTCCAATTTTCACTGAGTTGATGTCATCCAATCGATTAAAGCATCTACGGTTGGATTTTGAACACTTGTTTGTGCCGCGGCTACTTTGCAAAATTGAACATGGTTGGCACCTACGTAACCTCATTTGTTTGTCGTTTGTGGCCCTGTTCAGCTTTGCTCGTCCAGCCTCAGTCAGACAATCGGATGTGGCAATATCCGAAAGGAAGGCCCTCGATTGATCGAGACACCCTACACCTGACTCCGAGGCGGTTCTATTGGAAGCTGTGTTTGCATCTTTTGGAGCAGATGAAGACATCCCTTGGACCAGGTCCGGTAGCGCTCCCTGCTTTTGTTTGCCGTATTTTGTTGCGGGTCGGCACAGATTCTGGGTAGAGGTGATAGATTGATTTGGCGATGTGACGATATCAACGAATCCCAGAAGGCAGAAGGTTCTTTCAGGAAGGTAATTGGCATATATTGGCATGAAAAGTGAAAGGCAGATACAGAAGATAGATGAAGATAGTCTCAGAATGTAAAGTAGAAGTTGCAAAAAATCTGGCATAGAGAGTTAGACAGCATTGCTCACTTTGGACGCTCAGACCGCCTTAGCTATCGAGAAGCCATGCGCACTTGCAATCGTGGCTTGTGCCCTGGACGTCAGAGCGCCGGTAGTTTTCGTTTCAGGTTTTGTCAGTTTCACACACAGGTACAGCTATGAGGCGGCCTTGGGTCTCTTCGAAGACATGACCGTCTCTTGGCGAAAGTGTGAAAGTGAACTGACGAAATCGACAGAGATGTGAGGTTCAACAGCTGGAGCCCACCGTGGAGGAACACAACGAAGTGCTTTTGGCCTACATCACCGGAAATCGCTGGGAAGAGGTTGGGCCTACCTCGAGATGCTTTGTCAAGTCAGGTCTAAGTGTCGCTGGCCCGATACGCATGCTGATCAGAAGGTGTTTGGAATATTTGCCTGAAGGAATTGTCTTTCTAACTTGCGAAGTCGGATCGACACCCAATTGGCTTGCCTCGGTGTGATTTAATTCAATCTATTATTGCAACCGCGGGGCACATTCGATTCTTGTCAAAAGTGCAGACCCTTATCAACCATCACAAGGTCATCCGATGTCATGTGTTTTTCGATTCCTTTCGGCATCTTTCGGCTGATCATGTTGACCCACGTTGTAGGCATTTCGGCACTTTGCCAAGATGCAGTCAGAGGAGTGGTTCAGGGACGATTGGATGGCAGTGTGGGTGTCATGGTATGTCATCGTGTCCAGAATCAAAACAAATTCTGGCTCGAACATTGTTTTTGTACTATTACTTGTTTTCGGCGTGACAGATCAGGGTTGGCGTCTGGAGAGAGCATGTAGTGCGTCAGGGTCCACCTCCCAATGTGCAGAGCTACTGCATGGTGCTCTATGCTTGTGCTGTGCCTCGGTGCGAAGCGGCCGAGTGTCGTGCTCTATGCGGTTTTGTGAAAGACACACTCCTCGCTGAGGACTCGAGTGAGGCGGGTGGGTCTTCACAAAAGAGAGCTGTGAAGCAAAGAGGCAGTGATCAAACACGGCGGTTCTCCTAAAAACCCACGTAATAGATGTGATAGCACGAGTATGCACCGGAAGGTGCTGCACTTGGAAGTTTAAGGGATGGTGGTCTCATGTAGTCTCTACGGTAGGGCACTGGTAGGGTTTTTGTCGAGTGGGACGCTCTCCAGCCATATTTTCTTGACATGTTTAAAGGTTGTGCGTGGGAGAAAACTGCTTTCTATCAAACAAGTTTGGAGAAGCATGCAAGTTGCTGCATTTGAGATTGGACACAGGTGACCGCCTGGTCGTCTGCCATCCGATACTGGTCCGATATGCGAGAGGACGGATGATGCAAATCAAAGCAAAAAAATCGCAAACCAAGATCAATGCTTTGAGGCGACCAGAGTGACTACACGGAGGATGTTAATCTAGATTCACGAGAGATCATAATAAGGGATATCAAGCCACAGCAGCCGTCATGATTCATGATCATCGTGATGCATCATGTCGGCCTGTTGAATCCTCTAACGAAGTGTTCACGTTTCACATTGGCCATCGATTGAACTTTGTTTGTATTTGACGTCTTCTGAGTTCAGGTCATAGCTTTTTGATACTAGTAGTAATGGCCACCAACCTACTAGCGATGGCCTGCAGCCTAATAGCGATGGCCTCCACCGGTCGTAGCTTCAGCGCTTCCTTCGGAGAGGACAAGATCACCCCTGACTTCGACGCTTATGATATGCTGCTCTTAGCACGGGCGCCTAGTGCCTAGCCGCTAGCCGCGAGCGCCTCCGCTCCGTGAAGGCACCTCCACTCCGGTCCCGATATCCTCTCGTTTCAAAAACGAAAAAGTGTGTTGATATCCTCTCGTTGATGTTCATACTAAGGTTCACTATATGTACATTGTATTACATAATGACATATAGTTACTGTTCATAAGTCCTTCACCCAATTGAACACTATCCATGCTCAATGAGACCGGATTAGACTCTCGACTCTGCAACCGTGTTCGAATGTTAACTGACGTGACTTCCGAAACCAGTTTCCATTTCGTTCCCGCTTTGTGCTTCACTTCACGCATTCGCGCAGCTTAAGCACGTCGAGGTCGCAGAGCGTAGTGAGCGATGGGATTGGTCGCGGCAACTGCTGGACTGCCCCAATTGGCGTAAGGGTGAGACCGGCTTTTGGCTTATTTGTGCATTTCTAGGAGCAAAGGACGCTACGAACGGGGCTCCTGGCCTTACTACTAGGAACAAGAAGCTATTAGAAACAAGTGCCACGCTACTAGGAACAAGGACGCTAGAGGATTTGGCTCTGAAGCACCGGAAGCACAGGACACACTCTTCAAGTTAAATGCGCCATACACGGCCTCGTGCTCAGCGGAAGGAAGAAACCAACGGAACCACTTAGTGGCGTTTGAGAGCAGAAACAACCGAAACAACCCATTTGCACCCCAAGCTGGCCAATTTGAGCCGCTTGCTTTCTTGAAGTTATGAGCTAGAAGGACAGGGACAGGAAAACCAGGGAAAACCTAGCAAGCTCAGCACATGCTCCTATTTTGCCAGGGATAGTAATCGGATAGTAGGAATAGTAAGAGAAGTAGATCGACGTAGGTTTCGGAGGGTGGATGATTGACACTTGCACTCCTGTGTTCAAAAATCCGAGTTTGCTTGACTTTAGGAGCAAGGACGCTACTAGGGGCTCCTGCCCTTACTAGGAGCAAAGGGCATCGCTATTAGTACCTACTTGTTCTCCCATCTCCACCCTTTTGTCGGATAGGTCACCATGTTCAATGCGGCCCTCAACGCAGCACGCCTGGGACCAGAGTGTGTCCAAACTGCGAAGCATCAAATAGCCAACTATAGACCTTTCTATCGGTTCCTTCGTTTCTTTTTTTGTTCGGTTCTACTAGCATTGGCCTCCAACCTAGTAGCAATGG